TCACTGTTGTTTCAAAGACAGCTTCGCGCTTATTAAAATTTATCAAAGCTTAAAGTAATACAACTTTTGCGATGTACAATGAAGAAGCATTCAAACAAGTGCAGATTAATTGATTAAACATTGCATAATTTAAGAAATTTGAATTTGAAACAAATTTATTAAAACAAATTCTACTTTATGAGAAAAGAGCATTATTAATTTAGCTCTTTTATGTCATTTTCAAGTGCAGATTAGTCAAAACAGTAGCAAAATACACCTGATTAGATTCGTGACTTTTTCCCATGTCACGGCGCAAAATGTGCTGAAATATTTTTTTTTATTGTTGCTTATGAAAAATGATAGAATAAATTTCTCCTGAAGAAAAATGAAATGTTTTTACTAATTGGAGCATAGTAAAAATATCTGTTGGAAAAGCATTTTTTTCAAACGTTGCAAAGAGACGGGACCCCCAACCACCCCCACCCCCGAAAAAAAGGGGAAAAAAGAAATTAAAGTAAAATGGTTAATTGTAATAAGAAAAATTGGTTTCAATATGTTGGTATGATAGATATTGCAATGAGAACATATGTGACGTATTAAAATAACCAACATTTTCCGGATCATAGCATGGAATGACCGGTTAAAAGTTTGGTAAAAGGGAAGTTTACGTGATGGTGCCTTTTTTATTTTCACAACGATTAACAACACAGCATGTAAAGCATAAACAATGTTTGATGTTGCACTTTATGTTCTTTTAAAAGTTTTGCCCATAACATGTTAGCAATATCATTTTTTATTTTTTTACGTTTTATTTGCATGTTTTTATTGGTTCGAAGTGTATCTATTTCTGCATATTTAGGATCTAAACAAGATAGCGTATAGTTATTTTCCCTTCGTTTGATAAAGTTAATCAAAAGTTAGTTAGAAGTTTACATGTAATAAATTACATTTTTATATAGATAATATCACATGCTATCTAATTTTAAGCTTGGCCAAGCACGGAGAATGACAAATAGTTAACATTAACATGTTTTTCTACATACATAATATTAAAGTTACTGATAAAACATTAAACCCATAAATTCGTTTTAGATAATAATTACAAATGGACAAGTTTAATGCCCTCGAATAAACACGCCCCTACCTTAATCACGCATAATATTTTAGTTTATTATTAAAATAAAGAGCATCAACACGTACCACAAATAGTTTTAGTTACAGTTAGAGCCGTGTACGTAATTAGTGAGAAAACAACAACATCGGCAATAACAGTTTGATTTAAATTTTCAGTTTCTGTTTGATTTATAATTTCAGTTGTAACCCAGTTTCTCTATATTTCACTACCGGGATCATAATGGTAACGTTATGACACCTACGGCAACTATCACGTTTTATAATTGAATCAAAACATTCGAGTTACATAGCTCTCATTGAATACAACATTTTATAACCATTTGCATGGTGACTGTCGAAATTTAAAGTTAGCTGTGGCCCCGTGTCTAGTTATTCAAACTATTAAACAATAAAAAAAGATACGCAATCAAATAAATAACTATAACACTTAGGCCCTACATCTTTATTTAAACACAATTTCAGTTTTACGCTATTTTGTTCACGCACACAAGCTTTGTGATATATTTACCATTCAGCATCTTACATTTGCAAGTTACCGTACAAAATAATTTGTTTTTGTATGCTTATTAATGCATTTCATTGCCAAGTTTTTTTTTCTGTTGAAAGAAGCCAACATAAATAGTTTGTGTGCAGGTTTGCGTGTAGGTTTAGATCTATATGTAACTGGATGAGGGTGGAGAGTGGAGAGGTCCTGGCTTTTAACCACCTTTTTTTTGAGATTCTTTTCGCAATATTCTGATATTCTACAACGATAGTTCCACATTCAAATTTTTAAAGATCACACTGAAACTACTTAAAGTAATTTTGAAAAGAAACACAAATAAAACACAAAATAAATAAGTAAATAAAAAACAAAAACAAACAAAGAAAAAAAAACAAAAACAAAAAAACAACAAGCTAAGATAACTGTTATAACCATAAAGGTGACCGTTTTATACCTTCGTCTACCAACAATACACCTTTTTCTCTAACAAATATTGTAGATCTTCTTGTCAGCATTTATTACAGCATTTATTACATTCTTTAATCTCCTGTAAAAACTTGGTCAATATTTAAGCATCCTTCTAGGTTTAAAAACATGTATGAAATATCACCCTTATGCTAAAATGAGATGAGATTTCAGCCTCCTATATACAAACATCTATATCAACCTATCAATCTTGGTAAGATTTCAGTAAAATATATCTTTATACAGAGTCAACTTCGTATGTAATAAAATACAAGTCAACCTATTTAACCTCGAAGTTAATTCAATATTTTTTAGTAAATTTCCCGTATATCAAGTAAACAACTGCGTTTGATATTTATGAATAACGCTGAAATATTTTAAAAATGCAAGTCACACTGGTAGTCTTGTTTCGTGTTTAACTAATAAAACACACTTTACTTTTTGTAATGACAGTATGGGACTTTTTTATATAAATAATAAGACTGTCTGACCCCAGACGAGCAAAAATATTTCATTAAAATCAACATTGAGAAAAATGTAACTAAGATTTTAAGAATATAAAAAGTTTGCAATTCAAGAAATAATTATCATGTTTCTAATATGTTACTAACGCAGCAAGGGCTATATTTTTGACATATTTTTACCATGTTTGCCAATTTTCGTGGTTTTAAGTGCCGTTTGTAATCTGTAAGTTCACTTGACAATATTTTTTTAATACTTATATAATTAAAATTTCTTGAAAATTAGCATGAATCTGGAGGCATGCTGCTTAAACAGATTTCGAATTTCATGGAATTGTTTGAACTACATATGGATCTCAAAATTTAGCGTTAGTGGAAAAAAATGTGAATTTCCACTGATTAAGTTGTGCACTTGAACCCCATATGTGAAGGCAAAAGAAAGTCATTCACAAGGCAAGTTTTCAACTCTTTCAACATTTTACGAAATTCAAAGCTTTTGATTTTTGAAGAAAATCGAAATATGGTTCCACCCTTCTGACTTTCCTCTATATTCACCATTTATTATATCATGGATTTTCATGCAGTCTTTGTGGAGATATTCTTACCGGCTTGGGTCTTGGTGTGTCCAAAACATGCAATGCGTATAAAGAAAACTGCTTAAGTGTGTGCCAGGAGAAACGAGATATTTTGTTCCTTTCATTATCTTTAATAATGAACATATATAATGACTCTGATTCTGCATTTTCACCTTTTTTCTGTTCTTTTGATTTCGAATGATCTCCCCTTTTCCAGATAGCTATTGAATTAAGGGAAGCAATTCTAGCACATGTATTGCTATGTATATTTTATAGTTATTGAACATACATCGTATTACATAAAATGTCTATAACTATATTGATACTTGTATAATAAACATGTATCTTAAATCTATGTCTCATTTTTTCAATAATTAATAAGTCATATCATCATGTGTAAAATAATATTAATAAGAAGAAAAAAAACATGGACTAACTATTGGATTATAAGCTAGAATTTACATTATGTGGAACAGTTTAGTTTTTGGAGTTTAGTGAACACTTTAATTCAACATTCAACAAAACTGGGATGGGACTCTAAAGTTTGCCAAGAAAAGAACGTTCGGAGGGCTTTTATAGAAAGATAAATAAAATTATCTAATGTAATGTAACTGTATGGAGAGAAAGGACGTTATATTTATTTCAAATGGACATTGTCATTGTCACGGTTTAGAACTGATAAGGCTGCATATTTCCCCCACCCTGTGATATTTTGGCACCCAACACTGCTAATTCACATTGCTATGTAATCCTGGTAAATTTGAGAACGAATTTCATTAATTTCATTACAGCGGGGAAGTATGTCACGGTTTAGAAGTGTTTATTAGTTAGGGGAGATCGTGTTTTAGCGACCGGATAGCTCAGTCGGAAAAGCCACGGTACGTACGGTAGTCCGAGGGTCCCAGAACATATAAGGTATCAGTTAAGATCTCAAATACAGGTGGGAGGAGAAAACTTTGATGCATATGTTACTGATCTTTGATTCTTTTCCAAATAGAACTATGGTAGTTGCAGCAACGCTTTAAAAACAACTTAAACAAGACACAACTTAAAAAGTACATGTTTATCTAATTTGCGTTTTACAGATAGTGAAGAAGTATGGAACATGTAATTATTAGTATTGTTGTACAATATCCTCGGGTATATTTTATAGGGATTTCAACATATACTTATTTTTTTACTAGAATATTCAATACAATTAAATAAACATGGATACAATGATTTTGGAAAATTTGAAATTGTCATAAAGCATACTAAAATATAGACTACAGGTATCATTTTTTCATGAGTTAAAAACACGAAGACTGATAACTTGCCAAACTAGAACACTTAACTATAAGTTCCTAGCTTTTTTCAAGTAAGTGGGCTTTAATAGAGATCTTGAAATGTCCAATCATTTTTATTGTCTGAATACAAGGAATTCCAGTTAATAATTGCACTGTGTTAGAAATTTAAAGTTTTATAATTTTTTTCTTTTCCATAACATTTCAGAACACTGAATTTGTAATGATTTTCCCGTGTATATCTTAAGCAAGGTACTTATTTATGTTTAATGTATGAACGGCATTTTAAATGTGTGGTTAAAACCTAATTGCTTATTTCTGTTTTCTTCATTTAACTAAGACATATCACCAATACCCACATTAATGATACTTTCTTTTGGTCCCATGCCACTTTTCGGACTGGAACATTTCTTTTAACTTACATCCTCATATACGTTAAAAGGATAAAATCTTTAAACGTACTTATTATATAGTTTATACTACATAGTTTAATTTCCTTAACTTTTAAAGAATTTGTGGCAAATGTAAACACGTATTAAGCTTTGAAATGACATATGTATCTTTAGCTGACAATAAGTGTTTTCTTAAATCAGGAAGTTTAAAATGTTTTAGGGTCTTTCTTATAAAGTATACCAAATGTATTAGCTTTCGAACTGTATGACATTATTTTTTGTGGAATGTTTGACGTTAGATTTAACATGTTAGGTTTATGAGCCTCGTCTTGATGTATCGATTTATATCGCAGTCATACTTGTCGGTATTTGTATAAACCTTTTATTCTATTTCGTTTTGGATTTTGATGAAAATGGCAATGAATATTGCCAATTCTGCGTATATGGATAATGAATGCGCTATTTGTAACGAGACATTTAAAAATCCTAAACTCTTATCGTGTAATCATACATATTGTGAGCTTTGTATAAATACTTGGATTTCTAAATCAAAAAAGAATTCTGGTATAGAATGTCCATTATGTCGACAAGTTACACCGCCCCCGAAACCTGGTGTAGGCGCAGCATTTTGGGCAGCTATGTTACCGGACTTTACAGCTGGAAAAGATATTGATGTTCTGTGTAAACCTTGTGAGGCAATACAAGAGCGAAATGCGGCGAAATTTTATTGCCTGGAATGCAAGGAATACGTGTGTGATTTCTGCCGTGTGTCTCATACAAAATTTAAAGTACTCAAATCTCACAGGACGGTTGAACTTGACATTAATGACGAGAATAGTATTCAGTCTTTGAAAGAGTACAGTAAGCTTCTTATGTGTGACTTACATCCTGTGAAAGAGATTGAATTCTTCTGTGAAGACGACGATGCTTTATTTTGTTCAACCTGTGCATTCCTTCATCATAGATCATGTTACAGTGTTAAGGAAATAAAGGCCGATTATGCGGAAATCAAGACCGTAAAACCACTTTCGGCTATTTCTAAAAACCTTGAAGCAATTAGAAAAAAGGTAGAAGAGGTTTCTACATTTCATAATAAAAACAATGAGTTACTTGTAAAGAACGAACGTGAAATAATTGCAAAATTAAAAGCATCGGAACAAAATATTCTAAGTAGCTTCAAACGTTTTCACGGCGAGGTCATAACCCAAATGAATATAAAGAATAGGCCTTACAAGATGACCAATGATGAAAAAATAAAGACCTGCGATGAAATTATTGAGGATCTTAAAAGGGCTGAAAACACAGCAAAAGATACAATGGGCGTGGCTTCAGGTAGCGCAGAATACGTCATCATGTCAAGAAGGCTTGAAAAAAGGTACGATGAAATAAAAAATCAAATAGAGACAGAAGAGCTCAGTACAAATACGTCCAACAAGTACATTTTCGAATTCAACGAAGACTTTTTCAGATCGCTCAAACAGATAGAGACATATGGGTGCTACCGAGAAACAAAATGTCCCCGTTTAATCATTGAATTCTCAACAACGAAAAACAAATCGAAATTTCTTCCAGCCAAAGCGATGAAAATGAGCTCAAAATTAGCAAGACAAAAAAACTACTTTCCGTCTGCTTGTTACATGTTTGATGATAAAGAAGAAAGGGTGGTTTTAGCAGACCAAAATAAAAAGCGTCTGGTTATTATGTCAGGAACTGAAAACGAAGATACTTTCAAACTAAGCTTCACCCCATACGCTATCTTGATAACTAAAAAGAGCCTGTATGTTTCTTTTCCATATGAAAAGAAAGTAAGAAAATATGACATAAAACGTTCTTTCGAGCAAATTGGTGAAATTCGAACTAAGCATAAGTGTTATGCTATTGATTTCCTGTTGAAAACAAGCGAAAGCAAGATTGTTGTATCCTTATATGACGAAGAAACCTGGAGTCTGGCTATATACAGAGTAGATGGTTCCACTGAAGCTAGTTGCGTTACAGGAGACGCTTCTCAGAACCCTTTCACGTCACTTTGGTATTTCAAAATCATTGAAGGCTGTGTGTATTGGTCATGTCAAGAGGAACACTCTGTTAAAGCTTTGAATCTTGAATCTTTAGATGTCTTATTTGAATACAGAAACGGAGAGCTCAAACTTCCAGGCGGTATTTGTATTGACTCTGAAGAAAACATTTACATTTGTGGAATGGCGTCCACAAATATCCACGTCCTTTCAAAAGAAGGAAAGCTTATTAGAATTGTTAAGCTGGATGAAGATTTTGTGCCAATATTTATTGCATTCAGTGACAACGGTTCGGATTTGGTGATTCTTGGCAATGCAAACAGTCCGGGGCCATTCTTCTACCAGTTGAAATAAATAGTCACTCCTGTGGCCAATGATGAGAAGCTACTACTAAACTGCTAAGCTGCAAAAATATTTGTTGTTCTGAAAGAACTTGAGTAAAAGTTGCGAAGTGGAAACATTTTGTTGAAGAATGATCCTGACTTGATATGACGTTAACCAAGTGGCAATTCCTTTCACCAACATTAACTAACAAATAAACAAGCGGATTGTAATTTAATGTTGTTGAAATGAGTTTTTTTTATAGATTCCAAACACTTTTCATTATACATTATGAATCTATTACCAATATGTACATTTTATAACAAGCTTTCGGTAAATTCTAACATGCTTTACACTATTCCATCGAGCAAATGGGAAAATTAGATGCCTTATTACACGATTTATACTAATACTAAATGGATATCAGGAAACGTTTTGAATATTGGTATAAGTCGAACACGATTTACATTATTCTGTCGTACCATTATGCTATAACGGGTTCCCCAAATTATTATATAATTACACTTTGTATTTTTATTGCAATATTGAATAGTAGTGGGTATGGAAACGTAAATCCGAGTAGCTTAGTGGTAAGGGGGTTCAGATTATAAAGTAGAGTTCATATTAAGAAAATGTTTTGTTTTTATTTCGAGTTCAAATCTGCAATTGTGCAATATTTATTTTTATGTCTGCATAGTTTTTACTTTCAGATAACATTTTCATATTCTCTTTTTTAAACCTTTGATTATTTAATATTTTGTACAATTTAAAGTTAAACTTATAACGGTTTAGCAAAATTAAATGCATTTGACTTTAACAGTCATTGCATTGAACAGATTGAAAAGTATTGCCAATTTAATTCTATTTAAAACTCTGAATTCAATTTGCTACATTTTTGTAACAATATCGGCTCATTTGTAAATTTATATATCTGAATGTCTTGCATTCCTCATTTATAACTCTTATCACTTATCCTCCAATTTAACCTGTTAAAAGCGAGTGTGTGTAAAACCAAATGTTCTTAAATAATATTGTGTGAAATTAATTCACGGGGAACTTAAATCCAGTTCGTTGAAAAATATCTAAAAACACAAAATATAAGAAAAGCAAAAATGCCTTTTCAAAGAATCGAACCAGGGTCTCTGCACTGACGAAGTCAACACTAAACCACTACGCTATTACCCTAAACGGATAAAGAATGAGTAATTGCTTAGGTAGATAAAGATTTAGGCGATAAATACATCCAGTATCTTTTTGTATAAGAATTATTGACAACCCTATTTGTCAATTTTTATGAAAGGAATAGCGAACTCGAGCTGTAATTATACTTTTGTAAATAACCGTGGTGTTAGTGCTATTGATTATGTATTATGTTAACAAAATTATTTTAAACATGTTATACGACTATATCCCCGCAGAGCTATTCAAAAAAGTGTCTTCTTACGTCTGTAAGAAGACACTTTTAAATAAACGTTACTTTCTACATGGATTTAATACAGTTGAAATATACGGTGTCCTGTTTGGGCAAGTTAAAGGATTCTATTGACATGCCTCAAACAGGACACCATAGAAACCGACGGAAAGTTTGCGCAAGTCATGAGTAAATTCAGTTTATCGAGAAATGAATCAAATAAATTGGATAACCATTTCCAGGAACATAGTAACTGTTGATTTCAGCATTGACGAAACTTACAGTTGTTCGTTGGATGACGCTAAAACTACCTTTTTTTGGTATATTGGCATTCAATTAAAAAACAACATTAACATGACATTTACTGTCACAGCCCCTCCATACAAACAATCATCGACCATATACAGCTGAACATTGCGTTGAGCTAAGCATGTGGATAAGGAAACTTACCAAATTTGGGGTCCAAAACGTTACACGCTTATACCCCCAGCAGAGCTATTCAAAAATGTATTCTTACGTCTGTAAGAAGACACTTTTTAAATAGCCGTTACTTTCCACGTGGATTTAATACAATTGAAATATATAAGGTGTCCTGCTTGGACCGGTTAAAGGACGACTATTGACATGCTATATTTTTTCAAAAGTCATGCCCCGCATTTCTTTATTTTCATAGATAAAGTAGCAAGATTTTACATGCTCGCAAAAAACTTTTCACGCCATTCAACGATGAATATACTTTCTCATCCTACGTGAATCAGAATGTAAAGCCCTTCACGATGATTAACCTTAATTTTCGCATGTTTCTTTCGAGAACTGTAACTTATTTACAGTACCAGTGTCTATAGTGAAAGTTCTTCGATAGAGAAAGTTAAATCTCGCAACTTATCTATGACATCTATCTATAGTCAGTACGTTCGACTATTCTCAGTGCTTGATAAAACAAAAGCCTGAACAATGTAGAATTTTCTAAATTAAAAGGGGCCATAGTTCTGTCAAAATTCAGTTTGCTATTTATCCTCGGCTTCGTCTCGGACAATTTGTTGTTTGTCCTAGCAAATTGCCTTCTTACGTCTACAGAAGACGCTTTTGAAAAAAAACTCGTACTGTATCCATCACGTGCACGAAAATTCCGTGTGAAAACAATTTACCTACACCTTCACAGGTCTAGGATTTCATGATATTTAAGGACAGTCTGTAAATTTTTGGACAATCCATAATTTTATAGATTTTTTTATCTGTAAATTTACAGACATTAAATAAGAAAAAAGTAGAAGTGGCATTAAAATTCAAAATCACATGTTAAAATGAATATGTCTATGTATTATTTGATTAAATGCATCACTATTGTAAAGTTTAGAACAGTTTGATATATTTTAATTTTCACTTTAAACAAAAATTCAAAATCATCATACAAAGATCAAACTCACTCCATTACCTTTGTAAATATAAACAATCAATAAAACAACCTGTTTTAAGCTGCGGAATTTAGTGTAAAACCACGGATTTATAAATCCGTGGTAAAACTAAAAACAGCAAATTCCACATTGAATATCTGTAAATTTATGGATTGAAAAATCTTTAAATTTCTAGACTATCAATTAATTTACGGACAGTCCATAAATATCATGAAATCCTAGACCTGTTCACTTCCCAAAGCTTTAAGTCCATGCAAATATTTTCTATAGTTTTATATTGTCAACGTGTACATACATTTAATTTAGATTAGATATATTTATAATTAATTAAATGTGCAAATGTCGTATAAAATCAGATACAGTTACTCGTATTTTCTTCAAAAGTGTCTTCTTAAAGACGCGAAGAAGACTGTTCGCTAGGACAAACTATAATATATCATCGGCTTCGCCTCGGACAATTTGTTGTTTATCCTAGCAAACTGTCTTCTTACGTCTGTGAGAAGACACTTTAGAAGAAAAACTCATACTGAATCCATTACATATTTTATTATGCAATGAAGGCAATACGATATATGAATGTCTGAATTATTTTGAAAATACGAGTACTATAGATGATGTTGCATCACCTCTGTTTAAGAAAAATATATAAATTATAAATACTTTTAATTATGAGCATAGCGTTAAGACTGATTGTCCTCGATATATCACTGAATTTGCCGAAAGAAGATATGTCTTTTTTAGACTTTTAAATTGTAATTGTAATAACCCTTGTATCGAAAATAGAATTAATATGGTTAAATGTTGATCAGAATATAAAAAATTATAACGTTACATGTAGATTTGAATATGATAAGCAGAAAACGTCGAATTTTGAAAACAATAGATTTTATACTGGAACATGTTAAAACAGTCTGCAGGGCTTAAACCGGCAAAAATTCCATTATCGAAACTTGAGCATTATTTTAGTCCTGTTAATAACCCAGACGATATATTTTTCTGTTCCCGATGATGATATTTAAGAGTTTGATAGTAGATATAGAAAGGTATGTTTCAGGAGTTAAATGTAATAACTTCAGAATATGAGATAAAACAATTAAAACGTAATCGATCGGCAGGTCCAGAATTGTTGCCTAATGATTTTTTATGCTCTCCGAATGGTGAGCATAAAGTCGCCATATTGTCCGTCCGTCTGTCCGTCCGTCCGCTATTCTTGTCTTGGACATAACTTTAAAACAACAAGAGAAATCAACATGAAACTTTGTAGTTAGATAGATTTCATTGAGTAGATGTGCAAGGCATAAGAACCATAACTCTGCCATGCCTTATTTTGGAATTATTGCCCTTTGTTTATTTTTACACTTTGAACTTTGTCCGGAACATAACTCTAACACTATAAGAGATATCAACATGAAACCTTGTAGGTAGATAGATATTATCGGGCGGGAATGCTGTGCTAAAGATCTCTGTCTTGCCTAATTTTAAAGTTATTGCCCTTTGTTCGTGTGTACTCTTTGATTTTTGTCCGGGACATAACTCTAAAAGTATAAGAGATATCAACATGAATCTTTGTAGGTAGATATATCTCATTGTATATAAGATTAATGCCAAAGCACCATAACTCTGTCTTGCCAAGTTTTGGAGTTATTGCCCTTTGTTTATATTTACATTTTGAAATTTGCCAGGGACATTACTCTTAAACTACAAGAGATATCAACATGGAACTTTGTAGGTAGATAGAACTCATTGGATAGAAGTGCATTGCAAAAGAACCGTAACTCTGTCTTGTCTAATTTTTGAGTTATTGCCCTTTGTTATTTTTCTTCACTTTGAACTTCGTCCAAGACATAGCTCTGAAATCAAAAGATTGATCTCATTTAATAGAAGTGCAGCGCAAAAGATCCTCAACTCTGCCTGACTTAATTTTGGAGTTATTGCCCTTTGTTCATTTTTACACTTTGCAGTTTGACAGGGACATTACTCTTACACTTCAAGAGGTATACTTTTCTGTGTCAGAAACCTACTCGGGGAGCATCACCCGGTTCAATCGGTTCTTGTTATATCAGGAAAAGATGTTTTTGTATCTTTATTTTGTGGGGTTTTTTTTCAATAAGATATTTGAAACTTGATATTTTCCTGATAGATGATCAGAAGGATAAGTCATTCCGTCACATAAGAAAAGTAGTGTTGATGAAGTAGAAAATTATAGAGGAATCACATTATTAAGCAGTCTTGATAAATCATTTTCAAGTGTAATTAATACGAGTTAAAAATTTGGGCTGAAAAATATAATATCTACATTGAAGCTCAGACTGGATTTAGATCAGATATGAGTACTATAGATAAGTTTTTTGTTTTAAAAGGTTTAATATCGCATTTTATAAATCAAGGAAAACATTTTTTTTGTCTACATGTTTTTGTTGACTACAGTAAAGCGTTGTGAGGGAAAATGTTTGGTACAGGCTTTTTCAGAGAAAAATTTATATATGTTATTAAATCTATGTTCAAATGTTTAAAATCAAAAGTTCAGTATTTGAATGCTTTAAGTAATGAATTTACATGTACACTAGGGATGTCACCTTTTCTTTTTTTCTATGTTCTTAAACGACTTAGAAGATACATTTTTAAGAATTGGTGTTGATAGAATAGATGTAAACATGTTTAAGCTTTTTTGTTTTTCTATGCTAACGATATCGTAATTTTTGCAAAAGAACTACAACGCAATATGAGTATTGAAATACATGGAAGTTAAAAGTCAAAGTGTCAAAAACGAAAGTTATGATTTTGAAAAGAGGTGGTAGACTTCCAAATGATCTTCAGTTTATTATGATGGTAATTTGATTGAAATTGTTAACACATTTACATATCTTGGTATTGTCCTTACTTGTGGTGGATCCGTTACAAAATCACAAACAATGTTAGCTTGGCAAGCGCAGAAAGCCATCTTTAAACTTAATACACATTTATATAAATTAACGTATATAAAACCAAGGCATAAGCTTAGTATAGGTTTAAAGGTTATTAGTACGCAATTACAAAATTAAATTGTTGTAAATAAATAAAAACAAGAGGGCCATGATGGCCCTGAGGTCGCTCACCTGTATAAAGGCCCGGAGCGGGGCGAGTTTAAACCCCAGGGCTTTTATTTGAACAAACTTGGAAGACACCCATTAGAAAATGTTTCATGATGTTAAGTTTTTACTACACACATATAATGAAAAACAATGACTCCCCCCCCCCTTTGGCAGGGCCAATTTTAACCCAAGGGCTTTTATTTGAACAAACTTGGTGGACACCCACAAAAAGATGTTTCCTGCTTAACAATCTAACCTCTAGCTCATTGGGTTTTTTAAAAGAAGATTTTTTTAAGTTTTTACTATACACATATAGTTAAAAACAATGACACCTCTGGGGCCCGGCCAGTTTTAACCCAAGGGCTTTTATTTGAACAAACTTTGTAGACACTTACTGGAAAATGTTTCATGATT